TCGGTCAACGAGGCAGTATTTCTTTTAGTGTACGTATTATTTATTTGGTATGTATAAGTAAGTAGTATTATTATGTATGTATTGGTTTGATTATTATTGTACACTGGACGACCTCCTTTTTTTCCAACTCCTGATTACTGGCTCCATCCAAAGGTTGTCTGTAAGAGATCGCATTCTGCATTAAGATAGCCCATCGTAAACATTTTTTTCTCTATATGTTTTTATGGTGTACAATAAAGTGTAATTAAATAAATAATACAAGTGAAACGAGTGAATTTATTTCTGCAAATAGGCTACAAGGCAGCACTTTTACACGTCAATTTTATCAAGCGAACGATGAGGCCGATAATAAAAGCACAAAATGAATAAGTCAAAAAATTTACATCAACAATTTCATGAATTAACGTGTCAATTTCTAGTTTTACCTACCAACTAATTTTAACTCGTCGAGTACCGGTTTTGCAGACACAATTATAGAACAATAGGTTGCGGTCACCGGTGACCGCTTGGTCTTTGACAGTTTAAACTCAGTTACCGGATCTTGGCCACAGGTCAATCAAACTAAACATGAGTTCTAAAATAACAATGAAACATTTTTTTCTCCTAGTCATAACCATAACCCATTAAACATCTCAAGATAGACGGACAAATTACACAAATCATATTTACATTAATACAATTACGTGGTTTTTTCACAATGACGTGTTGACGCGGAAACTGCTGGACAAAAAACGATGAAACAATTCGTTCGCATAGCTAACGTGCCGTGATATTGACTGATCGTAATGATAATACTTGATGAGTACATATTTAATGCATATTTATAATTGTAACCTCTTTTGTTGTAGTTTAGCTTTTTGTTGTATTTTTTTTTAATGTGTAAATGAGTTGAATGCATTGTCGTAGATATAGATAGGTTTATGTATCTAATACGGAAGGTTACGGAAATTGGATGATGTTAAAATATAGTGGGAACCGTTCGGTCGCTTAGACAGACACTGTTTCATCATTATTGGAAAAAAATAGACGCTGAAAAAAAACGGGTTCACCATGAAAAGAACTCCCATTTTAATTTACATATCTTTGTTCCAGGTTGTATTTGTCTTCATATTCACCTGTCTCCAATATACCTCAGCAGAAGAAACAGTCCTGTCAGAAGTATTAACACCAACGACCGAGAATGAAAATGACAAATTAAAAAGACAAAGTAGAAGTTACTATGACTACCGGTATGGAGCACCACGACCTTTGTACGATAGACTAGAATACGGAAGACAGGATTATGACAGGCCACGATGTGGTAGATGTGACGATCGTAGAGACGACCGCGATGACAGAGATGACGACTACGACAGACGAGACCGTTATGACGACGACAGACGCGGACACAAACCAACATACGGCAACAGATACGACAGTAAAAAGAACTATGACAGCGACGAAGACAGGTATTCCGACAGAAAGAACAACCAAAAGAATGGAACAGAAGAAGAAAATGGAGACAACAAGAGTGGATATGATGATAAAGATAGCAGACCAAGCGGTAGTCGACGAGGAAGCGACAGAGACAGAGATCGAGACCGTGGAAGAGACAGGGACCGCGATAGGAGACGAGGTGGAGACAGATACGATGATAGGGATAGATATAGGCCAGACTATTACGACAGATTCCTAAGAGATCCTTATAGAGAAAGAGATTACTATGATGACTATAGAGGAAGACGACCATCGTATGATAGGTACTATCCTAGTTATGATGATGGACTTAGCAGATACGATCCCTATGGATACGCAGGTGTTAGAAGACCAGTGTACGATGATAGAGGATATGACGATGGATACGGTGGATACGGTCCAACTACTGGCAGGGGAGCACATGACAGGTAAGCCATTAAATTATAAAAATGAAACAACCACTTCTGAAAGCGAAATTGGTAATTTCGTACACGCAACATATAAAACACTTAGGTTGTTTATTTTTTAGGTTTGTGTGCTATTGGAACCCACAGAACATAACATAAGGAAGGTTTGTACGTTCTGTGTTGTCACCGATAAAATATTAGGTCAATCAAATAATGGTGACAGTTGACCTAACCTAACCTAGCCGGGTTTACTGTCCCTCTAACTGTGATGAAAGTAACCAATTTCATTTACTTTTTGAACGATCCAGTTTCTAGATAGTTACAACAACGTTCACATAAATGTGACACCTTAAAATTGTAATAATCTCCAGTTATCAGGCAAATTGGAGATAACTACAGTAACAACAAATAAATATCAACCAGTACGTGTGATGTACACGGTATTAATCAACTACCTGTACAACGCGAGCCGTTGATAATCACTTTACGTGTCCGATTAGAAGTAGACCATAAAATTAACCATTGAAGAGTTCATTCACACAATGCAGACAGCACAATGTGTATTATTCATTGAAATAATGTCAAACACATCGATACATGACGCTTTCACCTAAAATTCAAAATGGCAATACGAATTATGGAATGTAACGGTAAAATTGCATAGGTTAGGTTGTTTTCCCGCCATTATGAGCAGCCATTATTGTTGTTTTATTGAACTCTGCGATTATATATTTGAGTTTGTTGAAGTACTGGTTTGGTTTCCGAATCCTTTGTTCGTGTTTGGGCTGTTTGGTTTGAGTAGATGAGTAACCTTAATTTAGTTATAGTTAGTGCCTGGTATAGATACCTACTATACATTAGAACATAGGTATATCCGTTACTGATTATGAGTATATTGAGAAAAGATACTCCATTACAAGTTAAAATGATATGATATAAAATTGATTATAATATGTGACTAACGCATACAGAAATCATTTGCGACGGTGCATGCACATGTCGTCGATTTTCAAAGTTGGATATTGAATTTTGAGAATGAGAAGTAATCTAAAATATTGTGTCAAATGATAGGTAATTAAAAACATTAGAAATAGCTTTACTATTTTGTCTACTAAAGTATCCCCGAATCCAACCACATTATAAAAGATACGTATAATATATTTGACTCATTGTCTTACACCTCGTTACCCCTCGACACCATATGAAACAAAAAAAATCTGCTAACTTCTCACGCATTAAAATTAAAATAACATTACAATTTACAATAGTAACCTACAAACGCAAATACCGTAAGTTCTCCGACTAGATAATCTTCGGGATGCCTCTAATTCCATACAATTATCTTATTTGCAAGACAATCAAATGTTTCGCAGGTTTTTGATTAACAGTACACGAGTACAGTTACCTCTGTAACATTGTACACATTTTTTGCTGAAGGAATTTGATTAAGAGCAGTTACACACGGTGCTGCTGTTTTGTTATCTATCCTGTTTGCTTTCTTGGATTCGATTTGATCTGATTGACAAACCAACCTACCAACATCCAGCTATGCTGACGAATTGTTAAAAAGTTCGCGTCATTATGTCATTTCCAACTAAAAATTATCGTTTATCAGGTCTCAAAATGGCTCCAAATGATAACGATCACGATTAATATCTGAGTGAACGCGCCATAAAGCGATGCATTGTCTTGTCTACCTCACATGTTCATGCAATATGGTCATAATGCATAATGCGACATAAAAAAGGGTGCATTAACTACACGTATCTATAGTGGAAACATTCGTAATGAAAAGTTTTTAAAACGTTATGTTATTTTTGCCTCACATAACATCACGCCTTTTATCCCCGAGGGGGTAGGCAGAGGTGCACATTATGGCACTCAATGCTCCTCTAAAATGTAACACCCACTTTTCACTATTTATGTTATTAAGACGTGAGCATATTGCCATTTACCGGGCACAATTTCAGACTCTGTGCTAACTACCGATATTTAAAAAAAAAACCAGTAGTACTTTGCCCGACCCGGTAATCGAACCTGACACCCCTTGCTCGGCAGTTGCACTTGCGACCAATCGGCCAAAGAGGCAGCATTTTGGTCATTAAACTAACGCCCTGTGCGCGTTTACTCTTAATTTAAAAAACGGTGTTTGTATTTTTTCTGCCACCATTTTGTTTCTGCTCGTTGGTTACGGGTTGATGGGTACCGACAGTTTGTTTCCTCTATGTTTGATTTATGAACTGAGATCAAACACCTGACTATAGTGTACTTACAGTTTTATTTAACTAAAATAAGTGTGGGAGAGCCATGCTTCGGCTCGAATGGGCCGGCTCGACCGGAGTGATACCACGGCCGAGCAGAAAACCGACGTGAAGCAACGCTTGCGTTGTGTTTCGTCGTGTGAGGCCCAATTACCCTCCCCTTCCCCAATCTCCCCAATTCCTGAATCCCCAACGATCTTCAAACTCCTAATCTCCAAAAGGCCGGTAACGCACTTGTAACGCCTTTAGTGTTCCAGGTGTCCATGAGCGACGTCGATTGCTTACCATCATCATCGTTTACCAGCTTATGCAATAAAAAAATCAATTTATTAGAACCGTTCTACACGCATCTTCGAACACACGTAAAAAAACGTATCCATGCGAATATCAGGAACCGCCTTAAGCGTTCTTCTAAACCTCTAAAAACCTCCAACTGTGAATCCATCCAATCCAAGGTGTGAATTGAAGCAGGTCAATCCCAAATCCTGTTTGTAATTTCTGTAATAAAATTCGATTCTTTATTAGTTTCAGGCCTTGGGATGAGACCTACCGTGGTCAGGCAGGGTGGGATGCAGGTGGCAGAGGCTACTACTTCGCGTCAGGCAGACCTGATGCAGCGCCTGCTGCTGGTTGGGGACGACCTGAATACTCCAGGTAAACAAAGAAAAAACAAATAGAAATTCAGTTAGCCGACTGCAAAATTAAAGTACTATTAATGATTGAAGCTTGTTTGACAGTATCACATCAACAGCATATAAGTAGCTACTGCAGATCAAAGGCCTCTTCTCACACGGAGAAGGTTTGAGCATTAATCACAACGCTTGCTCAATACGGGTTGACGATTAAACTTATAATTAGAAATTATAAACCCAGGTTTCCTTACGATGTTTTCCTTCACCGCTTTTTAGTAGCGTCTAAAAATCTTAGAAAGAACATACAACTCGGAAAACGCCACATTGGTACTTGCCGTTGGTAGGTTTTGAATCCGCACCTTTGTGCATGAGAAGCGGATGTCTTAAACCTCCGGACCACCACGACATTTGAAGCCTAAGCTTGTTTAGTACCTTGAATATTTAAATGTCGCCAAATCACACAAAGAAACAGATTCTTCGGGGTATTTACGAGAAAGCCCTACATTCTGATTTGCTTCTCAAAAAAAGAAATTTGATCAAATTCTGTTCTATTTCCAGACCACAAGACGCCTACCAAAGTATAGGAGGTTATTCAGGAGCCTACAGCGGAACATATCGCGATCCATACGCACAAGTGTCAAGCGGCTATAGTCAAGGCTACGGCCAGGGCGCCAGCTACGGCCAGGGCGCTGGTTATGGCCAGAGTGGCTATGGCCAGAATGCTGCTGCTTATGGAGCGAGCTTCGCGGGGTATGGACAAAGCGGTAGTGGATGGCACAGTGTTGGAGAAAGGAGACCATATAGAGATGAGAGGTGTGTATTGCATAACATAACATAACATCACGACTTTTATCCCCGAAGGTACAGGTACATTATGCCACTGTACAATGTAACACCCACTTTTCACTATTTATGTTATGAGTCCCATGTAATAGGAGGTGTGTATTGCACTATGATATTTGTACAGAAAATATTAAACTACAATAACGTTTTTCGAAGTTTTAAAATGAGAGTCACTTACACCTTGTTAATATCTCTACTTCTATAAACGTCGGGATCTAATAATAATAAGTCTTTTTTTAAAGCGTCGCGCACCAGCATTTTCTCCTGTGTCGTGGGTGCGTTTACAAACAGACAAGTTCACATACACAATGACACCCAGACCCGAAACAACAATTTGTGAATCACACAAAGAGTTGCTCCGTGCGGCAATCAAACTCGCTATACGTTGCGCGGGAGTCAGTTGCCCAGGCACTGCGTCAACCGTGCACTCATCTTAAGAATCAATGAATAGGATATGCATAGTATCAAGAATTCTAAACTCAATGTAAATCAAAAGAAGTCCACAGACAGATATAAAAATAAACTTATACGCCAAATATGATGCCAAGGTAAGGTACAAATTGATCATGTTCCATCTAATTATTAAAATTACTCTCCACAGTGGCGTCAAAAAGTTAGAGAACCGAGACAACTACAACCAGGATTCTAAACGTAGTCAGAACAGCTACGAGCCATCTAGCCGTCAGCCAGCGAACTATGGTCAAACGGCTAACTATGGCCAAACGTCCAACTATGGTCAAACGGGCTATCAGCAAGGCTACGGTCAAAGTAGCAGCACGACTCCTGCCACCAGCTACCTGTTCCAAAGAGATGATGAACAGGTCACTGTAAAGACTAATGAGACTACCAAGCAGCCGTCTTAGACTTTCATTTGTGTTCTTTTTATATTTCATGGTTGACTTAAGATTTTAGAGTGTGGTTGAAATTCTTGAGATGATCGTGTTTTCATTGTGAATTGAGAAGATATTAGGTATTTTAATTTAGTACCTGAAATGGCTTATTACTTAAAATGGATACCAGCATATTTGACATGTCATTATAGAGACCAAAAAGGATAACTTAACGAACAAAAACTTTAATGGTACTTAAATAAATAAATAAAGTAAGTAATACAATGATCAGTGTTAAAGAATCGACGTCGATTCTTCGCCACCGATCGATGTACCGCAACAAAGTAACTGCTATGATAACCAACCCTGGTCTTCCTAAAACATGAGACCTTGACGACAAAACAGCTTTTGACTTATTATAACTAGCTTCTGTAGCCTATCGAAATAACATCCAAAATTAATTATTTACACACAAACGTCTATATATCATTATGTAACTACCACGACTGCGACTCCCAATTAAGTCAGCCTTGAAACCCTCACAAAGCATTTTCCACGATGTATGTGTCATCAATCTCCCTTGTGTCAGGTTGTCGCACTCTGACACTGACCTACGGCCTGACACAAACTCTGACGTTAGCGTAAGCGGTATCTAGCGTAAGCATTAGCGATAGCTTAAGCGATAGTGTCAGCGGTAGCGTGCATTCCCACAATTAGCTCGTAATTAATCTAAGTAAGATAATAATGTTTGAAGTAATAAAGTATTTTTATTGTGGGTTTTGTTTTATTTTGTACTTACACGCCCTTTTATGTCCGAAGGGGTAGGCAGAGGTACACATTACGGCATTTAATGCCACTGTACAATGTAACACCCACTTTTCACTATTTATGTTTATTTATTTACACACTGGGTAGAATTCCGCACTCCGTGCTACAACTGAGATTTTTTTTTAAATTCATTAATACTTTGGCCGTCCCGGGAATCGAACCCGAGACCGTTGCGCAGCAGTCACCTCGGTGGCCGCAACCACTCGGCCAACGAGGCAGTCGTACTATGTGTTTTGTACTTTTACAAAGATAATTTAACACCATGTATCATGTATCCCGTAGACATCATGGGGTATAATGTCTACACTATATAATTATAAATATATATATATGATACTAAGAATTTCCGAAAACCAAAAAAGACTAGCAATAGCTATAATGCTCAGAAGCCACACTTGACCACATAACTAACGAACGACACAGTTCGAAAGTACGAAAGTATCTAATTTAACTTTAAATACCCTCATAGCAAGTGGACACCGAACCGCATAAGGGCGCACGTGAGCGAGTACTCACAATCTCAACAACACAAATGATTCCCGGTTAGCGCAAAGTATAATTTTTCCAGTTTCGAAATTCTCAATAATACCGCACAGTACCTCACATTGTTGAATAGTTCATAAAAAACTGGTAAGAATAAAATAGTCACCAGTGAAGTAGTAAAATTGTAAATATTACGCACTTAAAAGTTTATGCTTATTTTATTTGAAAAAGAATTATCGTAATACACTTATTAACCATTCGCCTAACATTTCTTTCAGCGAATACCCTTTCAACGCCATCTTTTGACAAATAGGAAAACTAAAACGTGTGTAAGTAGTTCAACAACAAACTTGGTTTGTTCATAATTGCTCTATTGTATAACAGATGGCGTTGTATTATGTAAATAGTTATTTTTAAGTAATTATTTTACACACTGATTTCAAAATCTGAGCTGCTATATTTTAAATTAACGCTTGCAAAATGTTTGCTTTGGAATTTACTCAATACTTGCGTAATCGCCAATAAGAGATCATTTTATTAATACTTTTGAACCCTTTACCTAGATAATTCTTCAGACAAAAGTATTTAAAAAACAAGGCATATTGGAGGCTTTTTTTGGTGTTTAATCAGCTGATAGTCTTTCCGGTCCTTGGATACCAGCCACGTTAGTCATTATTCTAATCATAATGGCCATCGAAACTGAAGGGTTATCTAACTCTCCAAGATAATATAACAAATGAGGATAGTTATAACAAGTACTGTTATATACAGTATCACATCTCTCGTACTTACTCTAAAGAGTTACATATCTCTGCATCATCCAATGATTAACTGTTAGAGAATGCCACTCATACAAGTGTACCTAGGTAATAAAGTAAAATAAAGAGTTACACAGAGGCGTGCTTAAAATTTAACTTCGTCGGTTTTTCCCTACCGTAAACTGTTATTACCTAATTCTCTTAAGAGCCCTAGGAAATCAATGGCAAAATGTCTTCGTAAAAAATAAATAAATCATAAGTAATTAGGTATAACCGGGGTCCGGCTCGACGTGCAGGAGAACGAACGGGGTGGTTGTTAGTGAGTAAGAGTCTGACACTCCCTCCCGCCTCACCCAGGCGGGAGCAGTCATTCGATGATTTTCCCCCCTTAAAAAAAAAGTAATTAGGTATGACATTTTTTGCTTAGGGTTAGGAGCAAAGAGCAAACGTCAGACGAATCACTCAGTCACCCGATAATGTAATATAATAATATCATTGATCACACACACGTGCAAGATGTAACAGGTTCTATAGGGTCTATTTTTATTATTTATGCCTAATTTTTCCAGTAATGACTCCCGTGTTATTTCCAATTAAAAGTTGAATATATGTATAGACCGGTTTTTGTATAGTGTTTCAGTTATTTACCTAGTTATTTCTGAAACGTTTTCGAATTACACCATCCAAGTACGAATTTAAATATTTAACACAAAATAAAGTATTGCAAGCGACAAGTTATCACCCTATTATCGCAACACATATAGGTACTTAGCAGGAATGTGACTGTAAATTACCTACTTATTGATTGAAACAATTAACTTTACTTGATATGATAAAAGGATTATTTTTTATATCTGATAAGTGGCCGACGATCGGCCACTTGGCATCGGATTCTTGTAAGGAAATATACTAACTATAATATAATTTAAAAATTATTATTATTATTACCATTTTAACATCAAAATTCGGAAAAATAGTAGTGCGATTATTAGTAAACCCGCGAGTGTGAATTTAAAATTTAAATTGTTTTTGGCATTCCATTACATTTAAGAATTACTAAAATTAACACATTTTCTTGCATAAACTATTGCATTTGTTTCTTATTAAAAAAAATGGCAATAATTTACGCAAAAAATCTTTAAATGGTTGTCAAAAACGTTTTAAATTATTTGTTGGAATAGGTTGCGGTAATTCGCGTATCTAGTAACGATGTCGGAATCTGTGAATGTGGTGGATCAGGTCGCGGCAGACACGCAGGTGTCAGTGCATGCCGTGCAGGAACCGGAGCCAAACTCCGGCGTCGAGCTGAAGAGGGACTTATTGCAGGTCGTCGCCGACCACGAACAGGCCGCCATGTTAAAGAACATGAATGAGTAAGTACCCTTTTGCGTTCAAATTCTTACACAGCAATTTTAATCTAAAGCTTATGAGAAATAAGAGTGGAAATCTGAGTTTTACAAGTTCCTTAATCATGTGGACCACTACAACGGTTAAATTGACATTCATCGTGTAAAACACAGCAAGGACATCAAGGGCACATCCAAAAATATTCTGATTTCTCATAAAAACCTTGAAGGATCCGTTTCCAATCATATAATTACTTAAATTCAATATTTTATCACGAAAAACGTTCATTATCACATTATAAATGTGTTTACGTAAGCGATAAATAATTTTGGAGTGCGTTTTACTAAAAAATGTAAGGAGTTATCGAGACTATCTTTCGATTACCGTTTATTATGTTGATTCAGTGTACTTTGTAGTGTGAATACATAATTATGTCGCTAGTCGCTACACCAGTGTTGCTATCGTATCTTCGCTATCAACATTTCAAGGTCTCATTGCAATTCTTTCGATAGCACCTATTTTATCTATGTAGACTATATTCGATTTCGTTTCGATTATTTGCACATCAGTATTGGCTAGACATACCTATATCGATTGTTGATACTTATACCACTCGATAAAAGAACTTTGACAGTTCGCCTATAGCCTGGTTTGTCTGCAATCAATTACACAAGATACATCAAAACTGTATTGTTTAGGATTTTTTCGTTGCGGTGCATATTGTAAGAACCCTAAGCCCCCGGTGAGAAAATTAATCAACAAAATATCGATCAGAAAAGACATCCATTGTTCTCTGCCACTGCAACATTGTCGACTATGAATTTTGGGTTCAGTTCAGACCCAATCGGAGATAGGGAACAGGGCCTCTAGCCAAACGCCACTTTAGTGCTTGTCTACATAGAGAGTAGAAATCAAAATGTATGGGGATGACACTGACAAGTGTCAAAATTTACGTCAATTCCATATAATTTGGTTTTCTATTCTACATGTAGACAAGCGCTAAGTGGCATTTGGCTACAGCTGCTTATCAGCTTTCTAATGTTGAATTTTTGACATTAACATGTGATTGGATATATATAACCCATATTGGCTACTCTTGCATCGTAAAAAAGGTACTATCGTGCGAAGAGACGTTACGTTACATTTAAATCAACGTTTAACATGACGTAAGACAAGTAACGGAGTTGTTGTGCGCGCACGCATTCAATCACCACAACGCAACTGTAAAATGTCATCAATTTATATTAATTGAAGACTGCTAAAGATCTCGTATTTGCTCATTGAGGGTACCGCATTACATGGAGTCGTTTGTACACAGTAGCCCGCTTGTTATTCATTTACGATTAGATTTGAAATGCAATACTTTGTTCGATCAATTTTATATACGTTTATTGATTTTTGATTTATAGATATCGTATTTTGTTAAATTGTGATTAACATCATGTTATGTTGAAAGTTTCTTTGTTTGGAGGTTTGGATGTTTGTCCGTCAACCACCCTGAAATTACTAAACGGATTTTGATGAATGACTTAGGTGATACGATACTTTTTATCGCGAAAAAAAGGGTAGAAGAGGTTGAATTATGTCGCGCAAAATAACTGAATTTCACGCAGGCGAAGACTCGGGCGGACAGCTTAATTTTGAGAAAGAGTTCGTAAACAACAAGTCCCAAATCACTGTATTCTGCTGCCAGTACCAATAACGTTAAGTCTCGACGTAAGTAAAATATGGAGTAAAAAGAAGATAATTTTGTTGAAGACGACACAAAACACGCCTCTCATAAACTTTAAAATGTATCGCGTGTTTAATACTCCCATTGTTTTCCATATATATTTTAAAAGACTAGCAAAGTAGTAATTTCGGTCCATATTTGCTTTTAATGAGAATTTTTGGTGATTGTCTTCAAGCCTGGCATCTACATGATTGTTCGACATTAAAATATGTTAAAGTGAAAAGACAATGGTTCATCAATTTAATTACTCTCTTTATAATTCTCTCTTTGTAATGTAGAATTAAGATGCAATTGTAGTAAAAAGACAATGCTGATTTGTTTCTCAAAATTGAATGGCCCCATTATAGTGCCTTGCGGAACGCCATCTTCGATCCGATATTAGTGCACAAATAATTGAAGTATCGCATCATTTCAATGAAGATTTGACTTTAATAAATTATATGCAGATATATAACTAAAAATTATGCCTACTAACACTTAGTATTAATCGTAGCAATAAAAATATTCTTAGTAAACGCTCTATAAATTGTTAATCAGCGGATAAATACTGGATATCATGAAATCTAATCTTAATTTCGGTAGATAAATGATAACTAATGAGGCGCAAAGATAATATAAAGGTACAAT